TGGGGGGATCTAGGCAATCTGATTGCACTTGACGAGATCTAACCTAGGTCAAGACCTCTTTCAAAGGCACGAATTTTTTTATGTTTTGTTTTGTTTGTTTGTTTGTTTTTCGTTTTAATATAAAGGTCACATTTTACTTAGTTTTGCAAACACAATACAATCCAGGATTTACTGAAGAGGGGTGTGAACAAATGTCTGATGAGGATAACATTTTTGATCCTCGGAAAATTTAATTTCCTATATTTTATGGGGTCATTGCTTGTCGTTGCGATCCTTTGGACCGAATGGGTTTTTAGTCATTAAAACATCCACCGTGTCCACTGTTTTTTATTAGGGAGCACGCTCACTTAAACTTTTTTCCGAACCACTCTTAAATAACTGAAATAACTGAGTTACTACAAGCGCCATGAAAGATCATTCCTATCGTTTACTGCACCGGTAGACCCATAAAATATTTGAACACACTGAGTTTTGTGTGACGTTTACTTTATAGAGGCAATAGAAAGCACTCTCTTTCAGATAACCGGAGTTATAACCGAAAAGTCACAATCACTCGCTTCCGACTCTTGATTTACGCAATTTTCTCGTGTTCTCCCAACGTCATGCAGGGGTTTTTACGCTGGTAAACCGATAGAAAATGCGGTCTATTGCTTTATACAATCATACAAATGTGGGAAACATTCTTCACTTCATAATAAGTTTATGTCACTATTCCGTAAAGTGGATCAAACGTTGACAAATACATATTAGTATGGTGGCTTTCAATAAGTTTTTCTGGGTGTACATTTTTGCTGCAAGGAAAGAAAATGATGCGACTTATCTGGTTGAAAAATTGACGTAACTTCTATAATTCGAACAAGAATTAAAAGCGAAGAAATCAAATTATCCTGCCAAATTTTTTTTACTGTTATGATATTTCAAAAACGAAGAAGTTTTCCAGTTGTTTTATTTATCCCCGAGGGTTTTTTTTAAATTTAATACTCTGTCAATTTTGGCACAACACCCATAGAGCCTGTCCTACCAGAGGGATCAAGCACTCTTCGACTCGTTTAAGGTACCGCACCAATTTGTTGATGCGGTTAATGATACAGTTTGGGCTGGCGAACTTGCAAATTTATTTACAAATAAATGTATTTTTTACAACCCTAACGGGTTAGCACAATGAAATTAACTTACGCCCCAGCAGGAACTGTAGACAATTATCCATTTCCAGTCTGGAAATGACAACATTTTGACTGTGTATTTCTATGCTGTGCTGTGACGACACACTGAGATCATAGTTCGCGACATGTACGTCACTCGGCCTTGTAACAGTTGATGGACGTAGTCGCTTAAAAACAATCCAGTTGCTGGTATTTTGTTCTTCAAAGAGACTAAATTTCGAAAGAATGGTTCTGCTGTTTCAAGTTTTTTATTTTATTTTATTTTTTTATTTATTTATTTTTTTTTATGGAAGATTCCAAATATTTATGTTTCAATGGAGCAAAAAAATTGTCATAAAGTAACATCTCTTGGTGAGTTAAATGCTACGGAAACTCCACAAAACATAATTGAAATGTTTGTTGTAAGTGTTTACTTCGGTTAGTTTTGAGAACAATTCTTTTAGCGCACAAGGCTGTTTTTAAACTTTCTATTTTTTTAAAGGGCAGTCTCTAGTGCACAAGGGGCCTGCTCATCACACAGAAACATCTTGGTATCTAAAAAATATATTAAAGTTTACACGGCAACCAGGTAGACAATCAGACATGGTTTGATGCTACTCTGGTTTACACTCAGGGAGTACGGAAACCATCAAGAGAATTTTGAATAGCCACAACGTTAAAGTTGCTCAAAAACCTTTCCAGACTCTGGGGCATATTTTCGCCAAACCTAAGGATCCTGTCGCGAATGAACAACGAACCGACGCCATGTGACAACGAATACATCGGACAGACCAAACGTCAGTTTGGTACACGTTTGAAAGAGAATCAAAAAGCGGTTTTCTTTGCAAAAGGAAAATTCACCATACAATCGGGTGGGATAATTCTAAAATTATCACCACTAATCGTTAATCGGCATTACCACCAGCGCCTTTGTTTGGAGGCTTGGCATATTAACTCCGCCCACGCTCCTTTAAATCGTGACGGTGGCGGCTTGTTTCCTGACACCTATTTACACCTCGTCAGAAAAAAGGTAGCTAATGATTGTTCATACAAAAGGACCTCTTGTTGCAGCGTTTAGATCACCCATGATGAAGGCATTAGACAGGGGTGTCGAAACGTTGGGTCTATGAATTGTAACTTCTTCGGTTACATTCATTAAACCTGTAAACCAGAGTAGCATCAAACCATGTCTGATCTTGGTATCTTGCGGTTTCCCAGACCGTGATCACATCTAAATACCAGTCTGTGATCACGCTTTCCACACGTGATTTCTAATCACAATTTGTGTGGCTCCTACCTCCTGAAAAGTCATGACTTATTCCTATAGTTTTAGTAAATTATATTTATAGTATAGTATTATTCCAAAAGTCATGACTTATTCCTATATCTCTTTTATCTTTAGTTCATGATTATGATAGCCAGTATCACTCACGAATGTCAACAGTGAAGTATATCGACCTTATATATCAATAGTGAACTGGTTATAAAAACATTCACACCGAACTGATCCGTTTTCAGGCTTTTCAAGTCACTGTACCCGGCTGTGCTGGAAATTTCATAATTGTCTTCTTCCGCTATAAGATCTCTACTGAATCATATATGTTGCATTTAATTTAATGTTCACTTCACGAAACTCAGTTGAAAATGCTCCAGGTAAGATAAATGTATTTATTAAGAATTACACAATTTCTTTTAAAACATGATGATTGATTTTACTAGTCTGCTCTATTTACACAGCCAAAAAAAGCTGACCTACAAAATTATTAAACCAATCTTAGTTTTCCCCTGTTAGACCATCTATGATTTACGTTAACTTTTTTTTTTTTCGGGGGTTATAAATAAATGCTGTTTATAAGTGTTTATCTCATTTGCTATGCGTTTAAATTTCTTCTCGGGTATGGAAGAAAAATACTTGACTGAGGAATCGTGTGCAACTTTTAACTCTTAACTATTTTTTTTTTCAAACTTTTAACTTCCTTACCCTGACCTAGACCCAAAGTACTTAACACTAGCATTTGGGATTTCTTCTCTACGCCATGATTAATGGTTTCAGAGGACTGAAACAAGGGCAGATTTCTTTCAAAATTCTTCCAGCTGGAAACTTTTTTTTCCACTTTAAAGTAAAATTGCGATGAAAACAGTTAAACCTTAATACCATACCTTACTACCTCACACTAGATAGTATTAGCACACACTTGTCCTTGCATAATCGTATTGCTTTCTTTTTAAAGCAACTATCAGACTGAACACACCATTAGCACTAACTAAAGCGGCATCTAATTTTTAAAATTACTCAGGTCTGATTGGCTAAGATAAAAGCAGTTTTTAGGTTACTCGATGCAGAAGAGGGTTAATTCAGTGCAAAGAAGTAACAAACGAGACAGAACAATTCCTTGAATTGTTTAGCCGGTCTTCGACTTTTTCGTGCTTAAAGATGTGAAATATCTTTGTATATTATTGCTTTGATCGTACACGACTGTTTTGACAGAACGCACGGTTTGAATAAATTATTTCTGCACTTGATGTACGTGCTTTGCTTTTGTATAGTTATGATAAGCTATATCGTATTTTTTTCATGAATATCATTGATAAGTAATCACATGATTTTTCTCCCGCTATTTGGAAGAAATAAGCACTTGTAAATTTGTTAGTCTTTGAAAAAATTTACTCAGCGTCGTGCTTACTCATTTTTTTATTGCACTCGAAATCAAGTGATTGCCTATACAAACTGAAGCTAAATTATCATACTGTGCGATATATTGCGTCCTGTATAGCAGCTTCTAACGTTTAGAGAAACGTGTTTCGTCATATTTTGACAGTTATCATGCTAATTCCTGCTTGTCTAGGATTTCACTATCTAAGCATTTTCCTTTCTATACTTTTCTTTGTGTTCACCAGTAGTTCTTTTAGCAGAAATTAACTATTTGTGATTATAATCATGAAAGAGATCCTTTGTAAAATGTGAAATTCAAAGTATTTTTGATTACACGTTAAAGGGACATCATCAGTGTACAAAATTTATAGAAGAAATTAATGATCATCATAGAAAGAGGACTTCGAAAAAATTATTGAACTACGTGCACCTGAGGATCAATCTATGGGTTCTCTTATATCTTAAAATTTTTGCTTCACATTCAGTCTGTACCACAGTAGCGCGAGTTACAAGTAGGTGGCTGTTGAAGTTTGTAGATGAAGTAGGATCCACAGTTTTTAACAGAAATAGTGTTTGAGTATTTGCAACCAGCAGAGCGATCACTAAAGCAGACCCTCCTATTAACTATACCATCTTCCACTGTAGGATGAGCAGTCGTCAACCAGCCTGACCAGTCTGTACCACATCTGTATGCCGGCACACGCGTTGTTGGCATTTTTGTTCCTGCAGCTCCCACCAAACGATACCATCCCTCAGAGAATGGACTGTCACACAACTCTGAACCGTAAGGTGATGAGTAACTTTTATTTCTATTGGCATCACTCAGGTTTTTATAATGATAGCAAGGATCGGCTATAAAATGAAATAATTATTACAACAGGACTTAGGTTATAAGAAATGATAACAACATTAAAAAAGAGGTGAAGTAATACTTGTGTTGGACATTTTCAGACCATGAGGCTAAGAAATAAATATGAGAAATGAAATTCACTAACTACGAAAAGCTGAATTTGTGTTTCCTCTTTCTTTAATAACGCATTAAAAGACAGTCTTCAGCAAACTTAAGGCGCAGCTAACGTAGTTTACAAACAACTAAGCAGCAATATGGTCGTTAATGGCCACCTGATTAGGAAAGATTCAGATCGAGTCCAACCTATAGCCACCTTAACTAATTTAATTGCGCGGTAGATACCGAAAGTACCTTCACACTTTAAACCATTCCCGATATATTTAGGATTACAGGAACAGTTGTATGAGCCCTGAGTATTAGTGCAAGAGGCATTCGGATGGCAGTTGTTCATTTTCACGGTATGAGCTTCACTGCATTCGTCGATGTCTGAAAGAGAACATACACATTACGTCAAAATCAAGCTACGAAGAGTGTTACTCAAAAGAATGTTTCACGCTGTCGTCTATTATTGTTGAAACGCCCATCCAAAGGCAGAAAGACACAAAAAGCATCAACGATGAAGGGATTTGTAACATGATTTAAGGCGGTGTCATACAAATAATCCAATACTACTTATGATAAAGTGCGGATATAACAGGTGCTGTTATCGGTCGAAAAAGCGCGCTCTATCAGAGTACTGAAAACATAAGGCTGAGCTAAGACTGTCACGCCATTTTCCAAATTATACTTTTTCTGACCATTTCTCGAACTTCCCTCTATCTTCCTTTTTTTTTTTTTTACTAATTAAAAGTGAAATTTCGGAATGAGCGAAGTAGTAACAGAAGAACCAAATAAGGTTTCAAAAGATGCTAAGCGCCTTAATTTATGCTATCATAACGTGAGCAGAGACGCAAATGCTTCTCGACTACCTCTAGTGTTTCTCCTTACACTTCGTTCGTGCTCTAGCCACTTCTTGCGTGCTTTAAAAAAAAACAACAACAACAAACAAAAATTCATTATAATAGTCAAAACGAATATGAAGGCTTCTGAGATTATTGACCGTACCTGTACAGTTGCGTCCATCTCCAGTATATCCAGGTTTGCATGTGCAAACGTGTGATCCGTGCGTGTTCTTACAAAGAGCATTTACGTGACATTTGTCGGGGTATGTGAGGCATTCGTCAATATCTGTCAAAAAAAAAAACATTGAGAAGAAAGAGAAAAGAATGAAAATGAGATTTGGTTTTTATTCAAAAGTCATACATGTACACGTATATGAAAAAAGTGGAATACTTGTTTGCAATTTTTTGGTTTCATGCGATTCTCGGGTTGGACCTGTAAGTCAAAGCCCTATTTTGCAATTTTTTTTTCACGTTGGTACAGCAAAGATTATCTAAAGCATACGCCATAAACTGCTCTTGTTTTGCTACGGGAGCACAAAACACGTTATATAAACAACAAAAGAAAGAACGAACTAAAATAAATCATCTATGACCGCATTTCCTTGTTATTAATTCACCTGTGCAATTTTGTCCATTTCCAGTATATCCAGGCTGACAATCGCATACATGTGATCCATTGGTGTTGGTGCAGTTTGCATCCTCATGACAAGAGTGGTTTCCTTTACACTCGTCAATGTCTATGAAATCACAGATGAAAAAATGGGATTTCAGAATTATGAAAAAACTGACGTGCATAAGCCATTACTGTGTTGAAGAGTGCAAGCCATGGCTGTTTTCAACCTTTTGCTAGATTGCGAGAACGCGAGATTGTCGTACCTGATGAAAAAAAGTTGTCTATGCAAAAACCTATCTCTTAATAACTTTTAGTCAGGTAACTGTCTCACCTATTTTGAACAATTAAAACATGGCTTGCCACGTTACCAAAATAAACATCAACAAACAATTGAGACTATTGACGGTTGCCTGTACAATATGCCTATCTCCGATAAACCCAGATTTGCATATGCACACGTATGATCCGTGTGTGTTATTACACGTAGCCTCCATGTGGCATTTGCCAATGAATACTTCGCATTTATCAGTATCTCTCGTAAAATTAGAAGGAAAAAAATTAAAAAATAAAATACCAACTAAAAACATAAGCATTTTGGTTTCTATTAAAGAGCCATAGGAACTCAGAAATTGGCAAAAACCTCAATTTATTTGTAGCTTCCTGCTTTGAGTAGTTCTCTGGTGAGACTTTTCAATAAAGCTATTATTTCTGAACTCTCCTTGCAGTTACTATATCAAGCATTCGACACACATATGAACTGCTCCTATTTTGCCATGGAAAGGCGTCGAACATTCAAGGTAAATAAAAGAATAAAAAAATTAAGCAAACGAAACAAAAACAAATACAAAAAGCAATAAAACAACAAACAAGCAGACAAACCAAAACAAAACAAAACGAAAATATACAAACGAGCGAGCGAATACATTACACACGCTCAATGAAATATGGTAAGAAATTTTTCTTAAATTCTAAGATTCAGCACCTTATACAATAAGAGAAATTCACGCCAATTTCAGCAACTAAAGAAAAGTTGGCATACCAGTATTGAAAATCAGAAAAAAATCTAATATACGTTCATTTCAAGTGTTAACTTAGACTCATACCCATTTCACAATATTCTCCTTCGAATCCAGGAGGACACAAGCATCGATATCCCTTGAGTGTAAATCCAGACTGGCAAGTTGCGTTATTTTTGCAGTAGGGACTCTTGTCACAAGCGTTCTAAGGAAGAAAAAAAATTAAAATGAAAGAAGAACGAAATACTGAATGATCGAATACACGAAAATTTGCATAAACATTAATTATTGTTATCACATTATTCAAAGGCGATAATTTCGAAAAATCGATTTGTAACTCACCTTCGACCCACGATAATAAAAATCGGCATCAGTTGTGAACTCACTGTCGTATTTCAGATGAGTGGCATTATTTAGTTCACAGATGTGAAGTGGTTCCTCATCCTCTGGATCTTTTTTGAAGTTAAGACTGACACAGTCATCGTTCAGGTAGCACATTAGCTCACAGTCATCCAAGTTATTGACAAGTTTCTTTTCAATGGTGTGGTTTACCAAACATCTTTCAGCAAAGAAATAGTAGTCCGGAAATACCATTGCGCGCTCTCGCTCTAAAATAGACAAATTGAAATGTTATTATAAGGCAAACTTTTTCGTCACAAAAAAATTAAATTTCGAATAAAAAGTTCTAAAAACAAATCTCTTAGCAAAAATTCTCGGATCTCAGCAAACTATGGTAGCAAATGCGTTAAAAACGTGAGTTAAACAAAGCAGTCGGTGAGAAAAACGATGATTCGTTAAATGTAATGAAAAACTTTGTAAATTGCTTCGCCGTTTTCTACAATTAAACAATAACATAAAACAGTCCGGGCCATAACCATTTCTGGATACTTGATGACGTCACAAACATGGATGTCGTAGTGGGACATCGAGGAAACTCACTCATTACTTTATTCGAGCCCTAGCGACTTAGTTCCCGACCCATATCCCATGAAACCTTGCAAAATTACAGAAGACAAGCAATTACACACAACAAGCAAAGAACTGATGGTAGTCGCGATGACGAGAAGGAAAATTTCAGATGAAAAGTCGGGTGGAGGTCCATGTTGCGAAGGGCTCGATCGAGGAATAACCTCTATTTAGTTGAGGTTTTCAGGTATGCAACATTTTTTTTTATTCCTAAAAAAATCTTTTAAAAAACTAGAATAAATTTGCTTCCAATTTGTCAAAATTCCAATCGAGTGCACGAGGTTTTTGCTCGAGTGCACGAATGTTGAAAGTCTGTTAGTGTGCAAACTACCAGACGGATTCCTTTGTTCAGATCCATCGGAGTATCGTGTAAACCATCAATTTTAACCATACGTTGTGGCCGGCCAATTTAAAGTAAAAGGACAATTATTTATCGGACCTTTATAAGCCTACATTGTGAATTTCAGATCAAGCCAACAGCATGGATGAACACATTCAGTATCTCGAGACACTTTGTCGTCTTTGTGGCACAAATCTGCCACGGACCTGGGTCAGTGCTACAAACAAAGAATCTTTTAAATCGGAGCTCTGGATGAAATTTCGAATCAATGTCGATCTTGACATCAGAGAGATTCATTCAGCCAAGGCGAATGCACACAAAAAAATAATTTCAGGAAACCACAGATCTAACACATAAATGTGATTATCCAGCGAGTAAGTTCTCCTTCGGGCAAACATAAAACAAAGAGGTATTCGTTCACTGAGCTCTCACATCTTCAGGTATCGTATCCGGGAAATGTGCGATAAGAGCGGCATGAAGATGAAAATAAAGAAATCACATTGGTGGAAAGCCTTGCCGAAGTGTCTCTATTACAGCATTCCGGAAACAAAGGTTGGAGATTAACTACACGAACTGATGAGAGTGAAATTTTCGTCTCAAACCACAAGGGACTTGTCTGTAATTGTGAAACTCGTTTAGAAACACCGCTCGTGCTTTCACACTTTGCAGTGATTACCTAAAAAAACTTTCTATACAGGGTGTTCAAATCAAAGGGTAATTGTAAAGGACATATTATTGCTGACTAAAAGCTGTAGGACCGAATTTGTAGTGTTCTGAGACCTAGATTCTCCCGCGAATCGATCAATAGCGCGCAAAATACCTTGAATGATTCTCTTGCATTGAATTCGATCATGTGTATTCGTCTTAATATAGATTGTGACTACTTGATTTTATTTTATCCCACTCATGTGTTTATTGGCGTTTATTTTCCAGGTATCATAATTTCAAGATCAAAGCTCCACGTGGAACACCGCTTGTTATTCAAAGTGAAGACGACAACACGTATGACTCGCATGCACTGGCTTGTCTTCTTCCACGAGAAATGGAACGCATTACAGAGCCTCTACGAGAAGTCCAGATTTTCAGCAAATCGCAGAGAAGGACATACACTTTAGGAGATGTCAAAGGGCAGCAGATCGGCACGGTTCAGCACTTTCTAAACATACAGCTGCATGCTTTGCTTCGATGTGGCAAAATAACCGGGGATTGAAGGGTAAGTTACTGTTTTCTTGCTTTACTTTTACTTTTTCGTAAAGGCTTGATGGACTGAAATTGATAATGTTTATTTAAAAATCGGAGAGAAACAAGATATTGTCTTTCCTCGACCTATACTGGAGAGAAATGAAATTGTCCCGATTCCGCGATCTCACACCTCACTCGTCCCAATTGTTATCAGTGTGCGTTATTTGGTTCAACCTTATTTAATTGGTTTTCTTGTAACCCAAAATAGGGAAATCAACGGAGAACGGACACTAACATCGAGGCCAAACTCTGCCCAAAAGTTCTCCAGATACAAACAGGCTGGCGGAGGAGCTTTTATTCCTGTGACGCTCTTGGTGGATAGGCCACAGCGTTACAAAGAATTTGTGATAGAAAGAATCCGCTTTACTCTTCCAGAATGCGAGAATGTCGAGGACATGCATGTTGAATGTTTGAAATAAACGAATATTTTTAATGGTATCTTACGTCCAGTCCTTATTAGCGAATTTTGTTTCAGCTTACTACCGCATTACAACATGGCCGCCACAAAAAAAAAAAAAAAAAAAAAAAAACCAGCTTCTTCTTGTTTCCAGCACCTCTCGGCCAAATTTGCTTTGTTTTGGTTGTGATCTCACCCAATCACAAAGCTCGAAACCGATATCCAGAAATGGTTATGGCCCGAACTGTAAAACCATCTTTATTTGAGAGTTTGGGGGTTTCTGAGGTGCGGAACCTTTACGGCAAATATTTCGTGTTTCACATGAATTTGGCGATTCAAGAAGCTCGTACGATTTTAGATCAGTCTATCATATCGATAGAAAAGACGAGCTCATCAAACACTGTGAAATTCCTACTACAAAGGGAATTAATTAGTGTTTGCATTTTTGCATCAGTGTGACGAACACAGTTTAAATCCTCTTATAGGGAACCTTAAATACCTCAAAAACTTTGACAGGGGATGGTCTTCTAGTGCTTTTTTTTACAATTTGGTTTTGCACTGTATATAAACAGCTTGACTATTGAGTGTTTATCAAAGAAATGTATAACTGAAGAGCTCCTCTACGGCTCTTTTCTTCGAACGACTATCGTGAACAGAGGGAATTCATGTAAATTTAAGCCGAGAAAAATCATTCTTGTTTTGCGTCAATGAGCAGATTTGTATTCGTTTTCGAGAGTTTTCTAAACGGGCAAAGGTAGAATGAAATTTTATTCCTTTTACATTTGCGAGCCAATGAAAGTTGTTTGAATTGCTTAGCTATGGTGAATATAATCATCTCTTTATTTCCCTCATTTGTTTTCTGAAAACAACTCATTTATCTGTTCATCGTTTTAATTCATTAGTTGTTTTTCTTATGTCGAATAAAGTCTAACCAAATCATTTTTCTGCCATTGAAAAATATTGATCACAGCAACAGAGTTTTTAAAACACTGAAAATATATATTTAAATAAATTTTAGTCTAAGGAATCCTTGCTGGGATATTGATTATGAAAGAGCGCAAAATTGGAAAATTACATGAAGCTTCTGTGCAAAGGTTTTGTTGAGGATCATCTCAATTAAGCTATTTGTTCTTTGGCAAGTTTTAAAGCCTCCAATTCGACAAGCAATATTTAAAAGGATTTTGCGTCAAAGGTTTTATTTTTTTCAATCCCACACAATGCTTAAATTATATGGAGACGAGCTACCCTATTTTTATAGGCAAATATATAAAACCAGTTCAAATTGGTCTATTCCAAATGCCAGCATTGTTCTTCTACAAAAATAACTTCGCTTAAGTTGGCTAAGAGCGGCCAATTTTTTTTGCATGCAAATTATCGAATTCCCGTCTGCAACACAACAACGAAAAGTTTTTGATAGAATTTATTATCCTGTAATAAATGTAAACATGAGCTGACGAGCGTTAGGATTGAAGTTGTTTTGAATGAAGCAATTCTTCATCGTAGCAATTCTTACTTTTTTTGTAACAACTTTCCGATATGGTTCATCATAACAATACGTCTTTGTTGAATACTGTTAATATCTACAAAAGAAGTTTACAAGACTGAGGTTCCTTCCTTTAAAAATCATCTTTGTTGAATTCAGGTTTTTAATTTTGTCATAACGACACGTTAATAACCTCAGTGCATCAGCTGTTGTAAATCAGCGAAATAGAAATAAAGAGTGACGGAAAATAAGATAGCAAGGGCTGAAGCATGATTATAGGGATGGAAAATGATGCGCATTTTGTAACTCACCTTTACCAAACGTCAAGTAAGTCGTCGATGAAGTCCAGACTGCGAATACAAAAAACGCTGAAAATTCCATGCTTCCTCAAGACAACGGAGCTCAGTATTGATGCTTTCAGTGTGCCACAAATTTCGTGTCGACCACCTGCATTTGATAATGAATTTAAGTGATAGAAACCGACTTATTAGTATTAAAAATGGGATGTCAACAAAATTAACAGCTGTCAGTCCTGACCCTGCAAATAATATATGTGGGTACGCGTTTTAAAGTTTGCCAATGAACACGTTTCCAATGTCTTCCTTTGCGCCAGTTAGAAACACTTTGGTTTTGATGAGCTATGATTCTATCGGTGTTCATCAACAGATTAGAAAAAGGGATTTTACCACACAAATTTCCATAACATTAACTTCAATTGCTTCATAATTATAGTCAATGGAGTGCGTTTAAGACAATAACATCATAAAAATATTCTTAAGAACATTAGGTGAACATATTCCAATAATGCAGTCACATAAAAAGCCAAGTTCCCTTGAGTTTCTAAGAACTCCCAATTTTCAAGATCGATCCATAAATTCAACGTTTCTTCGTTTGTGTGTTTGTTTTGTTTTGTTTTTTTGTTTCATTCTCAGGGGAAACTCCTTACAAGTTTAATTGAAGCGCCAATAATTGACGAAAAGAAAATTCTCACAAAAATATGGTAATAAAAATAGATCTTATGTACCGAAAGTCCCGCTCACGAAATCCTGCGGATAATGGTAATCGGTGTGTAGGAGCAGATAGGCTGGCGTAACCTTATCCGCCAAAAAAAAAAACACTCGCAAAGTTAGCTTTCATTTTCCAAAAACACGAATTCTTAATTAAGA